AGGGAGTAAAAATGTACCTAGGTGTTGGAACTTTGACTTTTTTACCTTGGAAAAGTATTTACCTTTAGAAAACTTTAAGCTGCTTGCTCAACATGTACTCTGTATCTTTAATCAAATAGGAAGGTTTTATATATAACCATTAAACAAATAAGTTGTGGCAAAAAAGTTTATGGTCTATTGGTAATATAAAGGCTTTTAGCCTTTTTTAAATATAATTTTCCTCAAGATAATAACATGCATTTATTTTTGATCATTTCCCCAGGCTCAGCCCAAATGCCTTCTGGCAATACTGGGGAGCACATGTCTACTCTCTCACTTTTCATTTCTTAAAAAATATAAATCTTTGTATAATGTAGTCATAATTTAGAGACCACATAAATCCTACACTGTTACTCCAGTCATACTTTTTTTCTTTTTTTAACTGTAATGCCAAAATAATCCCTGGTACGACACTGTTCCATCAGAAAAGCTGTGCCACTTACTTGCTTGGGCTTTTTACTTTTAATTGAAAGATTTATAATCTGTCTTCAGTACTCAGTGCATGAACCCTTGAAAATCCTGACCTTTTTTGCTGTAATTGGCTATTTTCTTTATATAGTGTGTTTTCCTTCTTTTTTAATCATGGTTTTCTTCACTGGAATGTGCAGAAGGTTTTCTTATATCAGCAAATTAAAAATATACCGTTGTGATTTATACTTGATTTATGCAATTTAGCTTTGTTGTGTTTACTGCACTGTAATAATTTGTTATCAATAATGAGTAATTCTGCACGTAAATTATACCTGATTAAATGCAATAGCTCATTCTTCTTTACTTGCATATTTAATTGCTAAACCCAAGATTATCCTGTGTGTTGAGATTATTGCTGAATGGAGGTTTTCTTTTTTTAAATTGCAAATATCCAGGTTTGATGAATATTTTAAATACTTTGTCTGTGATACTGTACACTGAATATCCACAAGAGGGAACTGTTTTACGTAAAGAGGAGTCATTCTCTTGCTACTGAAATACTGCTTTCTGGAACCAAAGTCTCTGGATTTATGTTGAGCTGGCCTGACTGTGTCCCAGGATATGCTATATGGTAGCAACAGGAAAAACACAGGTAAACATAGTGTTGTTATGTTCTGTAAATAGTATTTATTTAAATAAGTAAATTTTGAGCTCTTGTGTTGAGATATTAAATAGAAAACTAATCTGAAAACTAATCCACATTAAGTTTTGTGTTTGGAGTAGATCTCTCAGAAAACAGCTGGAAAACCTCATTTCATCTCAAATGCAGTTGTTGCCTCAGTAAATGAAGCATGCAGCCCCAGATTGCTTTTTCAAACACCACTTTATAAAACCTGTACTAGAAAGCAGGCCTTTCCTTATTCATAAAGGAGTAAGCTCAAATGGTGCTTGAGTAACACTCATACAAGTATTATTTGTATCTCTATGAATGTCTACAAATTGATGAATACAAAGTTACCTACTTTATATATTCTTTGTCTTTAGCTGGTAATTCCTATAAGCAAAATTTCCACTGGTAATGTTTCACCAGTTGATAGCAATGAGTTTACCTTTGTATATGAGTTTCATCATAAATATTTGCAGAACTGAAACCTATTTGTATAAATAAGAGCTTTGTTTATACAGATAACAGGAAAGGCTTTTCCCTGGATATATAGTGTGGAATGTATAAACTAGAACCTCCTAATGTATGTGTTGGTTGGTTTATGAACAGGCTTTGAGCAGCAGAACTTAATATCAGTTTTTTACAAGTGATCACAAATAAACCTCCTACCACTGTCAAAATCTGCATGTAAATGTTGTGTAAAAACATTCAAATAAAATTATTTTAAAGTATAGACTATATCCTGTGGTGCACTTGGTTTGCTTTAATCTGAATTTTTCTTTAGGACCATCCTTTGTATTTGTGGGTACAGTATTATGGGCTTGCTACTTTAGAAGTACCTAATGATCCTGTTTACACCTGGAATGCTTGTGAAACCAATGTCTGCAGCATCCAGCAGTACCTGGGGTCAAATAAATACTTTTCAACTCATAATTTCTGAATGTATAATGTGAGAAAACAATTTCCAGACTGTGATGTCTCTGTCAAGTCTTCTGAGCTTTCTCAACAGGAAGAGAAGATATAAGCCATATCTGTGGCTTCAGAGACCTCGCCTTGTTACCTATTTGACCAGAATACAGAAGAAGCTTCACCATGCAAAAGCCTTCCCTGGGACATGCTCTGCTACTGCTGTTCATTGCCAGGTCTTTCAAGGTGCACAGGGCTTGTGGTTTCCTTTAGCTGTAAGAGCTGTAAGTACCTGACACTTCCGAAGATCAGACACCAAGTGGCTGTGTTGTGATGCTAATGCCCTTGTTCCACTCCTGGTGTTTGCTGGTGGATAAAAGGGTCCATAGGTGTGTGTGCAGCTGTGTAAAGGGTGCTCCTTGAACACAAACCCAGGAATGCAGCACCAATGACTATCAGGACCAGATTCAAAGCCCAGGTTCTGAGGTGTGTGATCCTGTCATGACAACACTTTGTGGCCCAGGTAGTTTTCTAGCTGTGGGGAGGATCTGTAATGGAAGACATGGGAGCGGGTAGCAGCCATGGCAGCACGGTCTGGGGTGTCATGTGGCAGCTGTGACATGCAATGTCTTTTCAACCTGACTTGGTTTCTGCACCTAGAAATCCTCCATGTATTTCCCTCTTACAGTGGCCTCCTGGGAATGGGCTGCTTCAGGTGCACTATGTAATCGACTATCTGCTTTCCTCTGAGATACAGTAATGGAGTATTTTCTCACTTGCATATACCTCCATATTATTGTCTAGTGCTTTCTCTATACAGAGGTGCCTATTAATCCTTTCTTGAAAAAGGAAGCACTCTTGAAGGAACAGACTGGAGTGAGACATTGTGATAAACCCATGGAGTTCGGCAAATGGTGGTGTTGCACAAGAAAGTAGAGGCAAGAGGGCTAGAGAGCCCCACAAGAATCTTTGAGAACTCATTACCATCACTTAAGTAAAAAACAAAAATAAACCCATAGCAGATGCAGAAACAGTGACTAGTACTAGTAAAGGTTAAGAGACTACTATTTCACAATGGTGGCTCCGTGCATGTGTAATGACTAGATCAGATGGGGAAATGTCATGCTCACAAAGGATGTTGTATTTTACCCTTGGAAAGATGTCAAGAGATCCACATAATACTTCATGCAGACAATTGAGTGAGCAGACCATGTGCCAAATGGAAATTTTGATTCATATAAATATATAAATTCCTATGCTTTTCAATGGGAATCTGGAAAAAAAAAAGGCAGGAGGCAGCTATCTAGATTTTCCTGATGTCATTTTAACTTGCTATTATATTTCTAAGGGTTAATTTCAGGAATGTTCTTCGGATGTGCAGCAGTTCCCTGTGCGTTTGTAGAGCGTTTTCAGCATTTCCCCGTGTCAATTAAAGACAAACCAAGAATGCCTGGAGCGGAAAGACCCACGCCACGGTTCTCCCATATTTATTTCACCCTCCCTCACCGCATTTCCAAACCAGGCTCCCCTCTCCATCCCTCCTCCCCCCCCCCCCCCCCCCCCCCCCCCCCCCGGCACCTGCTGCTGCAACTCAGCCGCCTCCTGAAAGCCCCGAGCGCACCCTCCCTTCCTCTCTCCCTCCTTTCCATCTGCCCCCCATGTGCGAGCCCCGGTCCAGCCCGGTCGCCCCCGAAGGTGTTCCTGCTGTCCCGGCGCCGCCCCCCCTCCCCCCCGGTGCGCATCCTCCCCATCCCGCGGTGTGGGTGCGGGATAGGGAAGATGCGCACCGAGGGGGGAGCGCCGGGGCGGCGGGGGCCGGGGCCGTGACAGCGCCGTGCGTTAGCCGCTGCGTCATGACATCCGCCAAACCAGCCGCGCGTACGGCCGTGCACGGGGGGGTGGGGGAGACCGCTGCATCCTGCTCCCGCCCCACCGCGGCTGCGGGAGAGCGCTGCGCGGCTGCGATGGACCCGCCTGGGCCGGCGGGACTTGTTGGACCGACAGCTCCCCGGCGCGGCCGGGCACCGCCTCGCCGCCACCTGTGAAGCGCCTCGGCATCCCCCCTCCCCTTCACGTAATCCCCCTTGCCGACCATCCGGAGCTGTCGCTCGGTGCCTCGGCGGCACAGCGAGCGGAGTCGGGCGGCCGCGGGGCAGGGAAGAGCGGCGGCGCCGCACGGGGCTGTCCATGCGGGGCCGGGAGCCCTCCTGAGCCGGCGCCCCCCCACCCACAGCGGCGGCAGCGGCGTCCCAAGCCGAGCCAGCACCCCATCTCCGCGGAGCTCTTCAGTACCCCTGGCAGGGCCGAGTCTGCGGGGCCGTGGCGTCCCCCGGTGGCAGATAGGGAGGGGCGGGAACCGGCGGCAGCGGCGCCTCTGCGCGTGTGGGAGCAACAGCCTGAGCGACAGACTGGGCCCTGGAGGGAGCTCCCGAAGGATGGGCGAGGAGGCGGCGGCAGCGGCAGCGCACGCACAGATGGGCCAGCGGAGGATGAATTAGGAGCCACAGGAGGCTGCTGCCGGCATCGAGGGGGGAAGAGGAGAGGAAGAGGCTGGACTTGGAAGAAGAGGAGGAGGAGGAGGAGGAGGGTGCGCGGGGGGGGACTGAGTATCGCTAATAACAAGTTAAAGACTAATAACAATAATAAGAGATCACCTCCGGGAAGGTCCGCGGCGGAGGCTGAGAGATCCCCGCGGAGGCCAGCGGGGTTGAAGCGCTGGGTATCTTGGAGAGACGCTCCGAGGCATCAGTTTGTGGTGGTGGTGGATGATCTTTTTTAGGGGTGGGCGGGGTGGGGGCTGTGTATGCGGGAGAAGGAAGGGGTGGGAATCGTGAGGAGGAGACTACCTTTTTATAATTAATTTTTTTAAACATTATTTTCGCCGTGCAAGGAGGACGCTCGCAATTCACCGGCCTGGCTGCTCCCGAGGGGGACCCGGGGCTTGTTGCGGGCGCTTTTCTTCTTTTTTTGTTTGTTTGTTTGTTTGTTTTGATTTGGGGCTTTTCATTTCTATTACAATTATTTTTTTTTTCTCCGCTGAGCAGCGGCGGCAGCAGCAATATGGCTGGTGATGGGTTTTTTGGGGGGCGCTGGCGGCGGGAGGAGCTCTCGGAAGCCCCTGCGCGCCCGGCTCGCTGTTAGCTATGGCAAATGGCAGCGGCGGCGGCTCCTACCCGGGCGGCAGCGGCGGCGGCGGCATTAGAATGAGTAACAATATCAACGCCAACAATCTCAACACAGACTCGTCCTCCTCCCCCGTCAATGTGCCCAAGATGGATGCGCTCATCATCCCGGTGACCATGGAGGTGCCCTGTGATAGCCGCGGACAGCGCATGTGGTGGGCTTTCCTCGCCTCATCCATGGTCACTTTCTTTGGGGGACTGTTTATCATCCTGCTCTGGAGGACCCTCAAGTACCTGTGGACTGTCTGCTGCCACTGCGGGGTCAAAAACAAGGTAACTCCCCGTTCGCTTCCCCTCCTGCTGCCGGTGATGGTTTGGTGCGGTCATGGTGGTGGAGTAGTTGAAGCCCAGGCTGGTAAACCAGGACACCTGGGAGAGGTAGCACTAGAAGAGACACTGTGAGCTCCTGTTGGGTGGTGGTGTGCTGTCTGCTGTTGTGGTAGGATCGCCATGGACTGTTGGGAGCCGCAACTGGGGGAGCGTGGCTGGGGGAGTGAGGTGTTGGGTGCAGCCTTGAGACTGCCTCCCTGTCTCCCCCCGGGTCCCGTTGCCCCCCCCCCCCCCCCCCGAGGGGACACACTCGTTTTCATCTGGTGGCGTGAAAGTTATACCTAGTGTCGGCTTGCCCCCACAAAGAGGCACATGCTGGCATGGTGGGACAGCATGGATCAGAAGTTGATATACACCCCCAGGACTGTGTATGATGCAGAGTGGGAGTGGGTGTTTGCTGATCAAAACTCTCAATTCTCTTGTGGAATGACAAACTTTGGCAAAATTGAGAAGGTAAACTTCTCCAGTAAATCTTTTTAAAGCTAGTTCAACTCCCTGAGAATCTTTGACACTTCTGTTTGATAAATTAAATGTAGAGACCTAGAAATATTCAGTGCATTGGAAAATAACACACTAGAGAATTCCTTTAACCTAAGTGTGAAATCTTTGAGTCAACCTCTTTGCCCCTTTGATTTTTGTATGTTGCCAGCTGGAAGAAAGTGTAGTATGTGAAGTACGGTCGGCTCTTGGTTTGAAGGGTCACTTTTCAGACCAAAGGTAAGAACTTGCCCAGGTCCAGACTTCATTTTTGTTTGAGACAAATGGGATAGAAAGTGTTAAGACTCTGTATTTAGGAAAGTGGATTTTGACAGACCCCAAAATAGACAAGCAGCTGGAGTTTCTCCCCTTCCCTTTTCACATTTTTTGGATTACAAATGGAATAATATCAGCTTCAGTTATTCCTGGCACACAGACACCCACAAAAACACACACACCTTTTAATATATGGTTGCTAGGTTGCTGGCTTGCTTTGACGTACAGTGAGCTGTCTTCCCCTTTCTCCTGTCCCTTCCCCCCTAAACACACTTGATACAGCGCATAACCCAGCTGTATGAAGGATCTAACACTTTCGGGAAAACAGAAACAAAAGTTGGAGTGTGAAAAGTTATGGTACTTGTTTGTTTGTGTATTTGGGTTCCGTAAGGTAGGCGTCCAGTTTGGATTGCCTGAATGAACCTCCACGTTCCAGTTGGGAGTAGAACAGTTGCAGTGAACTTGGCCTATCTATGGAAGAAGTGATTGATAGAGATAAGGAATAAATAAAAGCTTTTAACTCAAACTTAAGCTTCAGAAAACCTACCAGGCAGCATCACTTCTCTACAGGCACTTTTTATTTTGTTCAAAACCAAGCCTGAACTTTTCTAGAGAGATGTTAGGTAGGTATGGTGACAAAGCTCAAATTAATTTGTGATAGTAAGCAAGCATGTCTTGTACCATTTCCTACAACAGTAAAAAGTGATTTTCAAGAATGGGTGGATAGTTAAGACGTACCTTCAGTTTCTTCTGTGTGTATTTAGCATTTTCTTCTCCACACAATGAGACAAATCTGCAAGGGATCTTGATGAAAAAAGAAAATCCCACAGGTTATCACCTCGTGTTTCTTTCCTTGAGAGAATGAAAAGTTAGAGACTTGCACACAGACTGCATATGCATGCTGTCTTGGTGGCTGTTGTTGGTTTGATAGTCCATTATTGGAACATAGTTAAAACAAATCATTCATTTCTTAACCAATGCAGAAAGGTACATCCAAATTGTCTTTAAAACCTCTTTGGCTATCAGTCAGCTAAATAGCAGGTATCATTGGGGGGTTACAACATTTCCAGTCTGAATGATTTGCCATACTGCAGCTATGTTGGATTGTAAGATATGAGTTTATTTCATGTTTGAGACCTGAAGTAGCTACGTCCATGAATATGATTGCCTGGGGCAGGAGGATAAAGGCCTCTGCAGGTAGGGGGAGGTATACATCTCTTTTTAGATTGTATTTGTTCCACTTGTAAGGCGTTTCAAGGCTCTGGTGAAGAACTTTCAAGGGCTGATACTGTGCTCCTTACATGCTAAAACAGGGAATTGGAGGGAATTCTGTGTGTGTAAGGAGTAACTAGTTACTGTAAAACACTTGTCTAGAATTTAGGGTGTAAAGGCTAATTGAAGTAACAACTGGAAATGCCTTAAACTTTGCTCTTACCAAACACATGCTTTGAGCTGCATGGTAACTTGGGAAAGGTAGCCGAGGCTGCAGGTGGAAAATGTGAATGCATATATATGTTATGTTGACTATATTGGACCTCATAGCAAAAGTGATTTTACAAGAAGTAGATCCTCCTACTGTGGGACTGATTAAGTTTTCTGCATGTTAGGATCTTTCCTTCTTTGTGCTGCCTCTTCTGCTGCTCCGCAGGTTGTAGCAGTTGTGTTATCCAATATTGTCTCACTATTTAAGTTTCATCCCCCCCTTGTCATTGAACTTAAGGTTTGAATTGGAAAACATGATATAAACAGTTTAACACTTATAAAATGTCACTTTTTTTATTTTCTTTTTCTGTGGAGATGGGAAAGTCGAGATACTGTAAGTCAAGAATATGAAATCTTCTGGTAACAGAATGATAAACATTGCTCCTTAAAATTCCATATCCAATTTATGTCACTGTATATGAATAGAACATGAATTTGAATAATGTATCCAAAATGATTGCTGTAGTTTTAGGATTTTTATGCTCCATGCTTGCTTTGTGAAATGACATTTTAAAAAATCTGTCAAAAAGAAATATGTAAGTCCTGACCTGTGTTGTCAGTCTTTCATGTAATGTAGGAGTCATTACAATTGAAGCCCTTGTATTCCTTTATTTAATATGGTATGCAATTTTAGATGCAAATCTTCCAAAATTAGCTACAGTCATATTGCAGAGACTTAACAAATGCTGTTTTTCTCTTCAGTGTTTACATCTACATATTTAGGAATTGTTAAAGAACTTGTCTTCTCTTTGTTTTTCATTTGTCCCTTGACCGACTCATTTCTCTTGGTGTATGAAAAGTGGAATGAGAGACTGAAATTCAGTAGGCTGGACTCTGACACCATTAATTGTTCTTGTTTCTGGAAATAACAGGAAAAATAGAACAAATATGCATGGTGAAGTACACAGTACACATAGTGGCTAGATGTGTATTTTACACTCTGCAATGCTTTTGATTATATGGATTTGCTGTTGCATTTTCTATGCTCCTAAAGGTAATTTTCTACAGATATTATCTGCTATATGTTTTGGGTTTGAACAAACTCTTAAACACAGAATGGTTTAGATCATCTAGTTCTAATCCCCTGCCATGGGCAGCGACGCCTTCCACTAGACCAGGTTGTTCAAAGCCCCATCCAACCTGGCCTTGAAGCAGCAAAATGAGAGCGTGCAAGTTTGGGGCACATCTGGCTGCTGAAGCTGGCTGGTGCCGAATGAAGTAAAATCAGTATGAAGAATGTGATACTGGACCATATATCACTTCTCCTTGGTTCCCAAACAGTAGTACCCCTGTGTACCTTATGCTTTCAGGGCTCTAGCAGGTAGAATGTATCTTTATCGTTGTGCTCCTGTTGGAATGATTCAAGTGTTTTGAACAGCTCCCCACAGCTCATATATGTATAAAATGAAATTACATTATGATTATAGATAGCCATTGACAGCATGAAATTACAAGCCATAATATTTATCTTTCTTTGATGTTGGACTGCGTATTTGGGAAGTTTAATAAGTTATACACTGCTAGATTTGGTCCGTGGAAACCAAGCAACATTCCCATTTGTTTTTAATAGAATTTTTTTTTTTTTTTTACTGGAAGTACAGCATTTGCAGACGCCTTCTTTCAAAAGTTAAGAATTTTCACTCGGATCTCAAAGGCCTGAGAAAATTTGTAAGTGGAAAAATTTAAATTTTCCCTAAAAGAAGGGAAACTGGCTCTTACATAACTAGGTTTGTTGGTTTCCTAGCAATACCTGTGTAAGCATCCTCTCCAAATAAAACTAAAGAAACGAAAGGCACCACTTACTGAAAGAAATCCTTAAGAGTGCATTGGAAGGCATGCGTGGACACATAACACAGGAGACCCTTTCATTTAAATGTGTTATGTGGGAACCTCACCTTGACTCTCTAGAAGATGTCCCAAGCAGAAGCGTATGAACAACTGGAAGGCTCAAGGGATTAGCAGTGGACTGCAATGCATTTTGCTTGTTAGTCACATGTGCAGCCTGGCTCAAGGCACTGAATCGTTCCTGTCTCATGGCTATCAGGTGGTCTGTGTGTAATTACTCTGTGAGCTTCCCACTGGACAGGTTGCCAGTTGAGACATGGACATGGTGGAGAGGTCAAAGACTGAAAGAAAAAGTCCTCGTAGCTCTTTGTGGATGGTGCTTCTGCAAGCAGAAAAAGGCATGGTATGGAGAGGTGTGTGCTGCTGTTTCCCATGCTGTGAGAAGGAAGACAGGTTCTGCTGTCTGGAGCTCATAATGGATTTCACATTTTATCAACACACAATAAAATTGGTTATGCATGCAGAAAAGAAAATATATAGACAAGGATTTAAGCTGTAAACCAAAATGTTATTTTGATACAGTATCATACACACTTTCAAGGCTTTGCAACACATACATTTAAGGAGAAAATCTGCACTCAGAAAGAATTTGCAGCTCTCACACGTTTGCAAATCTGTAAATGCTGGTTGGAAACCATTAGATTTCACAATATTTTCCAGTTTAACTCAATAGAAGAAATGTCTGTAATAGGGAACACAAAGCTTTTAAATAGCAGTGATAGATGTGCTCAGTTTTGATATGGTGGGATTTCTGAATGCAGTTTACAGCCCCAGAGATTTGAAACACTGAAAATTTAGAGCATGCTAGTCCTAAATATCATCTCTGCAGGGACAGGATCTCATGATTCTAATTAAAAAAGCAA